AATCCCAAAATATCCCTTCCCATCAGTTTGGTTTTCGCTCTCAACATTCTACTGTTCAACAAGGACTCCGAGTTGTTGATCATATTTCCTCAGCCCTAGAAAACAAGGAATACTGTTCGGGTGCCTTTCTGGACATTGCACAGGCATTTGACCGGGTATGGCACTCCGGACTGCTCTCCAAGCTTAAAATCCATTTACCTCAGTCCTTGTACCTAGTCCTCCGATCCTACCTCTCTGACCGCTCCTTTCGAGTTCGCTGTGGAACAGAATTTTCCAATATCTACTCCGTTAAAGCCGGTGTTCCCCAAGGCAGCGTCTTGGGTCCCGTGCTTTACATCCTCTTTACTGCTGACATCCCTGTTCATCCCGATACTTTTCTTGCAACATTCGCTGACGACACCGCAATCTTATCATCCAACTCTGATCCCGAAATAGCATCCTTAAATCTCCAAAGTCATCTCACCTTGATTGAGCACTGGTGTAATAACTGGCGCATTAAAGTTAATGAATCTAAATGCCAACACATTACTTTTACACTCCGACGCAATTCCTGTCCACCAGTACTCTTTAATTCCATCCAGCTTCCTTATTCAGACACAGTCCGGTATCTTATCTTTCATTTAGACCGAAGACTAACTTGGAACCCGCATACTAGACTCAAAAGACAAGAACTCAACCGACGATACGGCCAACTATACCGACTACTAAGCAGAAAATCTAAACTTTCCATTGAAAACAAGCTACTGATCTACAAGACAATACTGAAACCTATTTGGACTTACGGACTGGAACTGTGGGGATCAGCAAAATTTTCTAACATCAAGCGCATCCAATCCTTCCAGTCTAAAGTCCTTCGAACAATAGTCGATGCTCCTTTCTATGTATCCAACAAAACCCTACATCATGACCTTAACATCCCATTTGTCCTAGACCTTATCCCAGAAAAGTTCTCCAAATTTCACCAGAACCTTACTTACCACCCAAATCCTCTTGCACAATCCCTATCAAGCATCTCCCATCCCTATAATCCTCCAAGAAGGTTGAAACGGCAGTGGCCTCGCGACCTTTTGTAAATTATATAAATTGGAGTTCTGGCAATGGCCAGATTCTTCACTCAAGACATGTGTGTATGTGGCTAAAGTGCTCTCGACCAATCTCCGCTGGCTTTAGTACCAGTGACGCGGTTGGAAGAGTAGCGCAGGGTTCTCCTGGAGTTCCCTCGCCTGATTGTATATAGCTATGCATGATATTTTTTTTTTTTTTTTCCTTAGTTTTAATTTTCTTATTTATTAGGTTATTTTATTTTATTGTCTATTGTATATACTTTTGATTATTATTTTGTTCTATTTATTTTATTTTTTTTTTGTACATATGGTGTGAATGTCATCCTACCTCACTATAACCAATGTCGAACAGACAGATTGTTATAATACTCAATAAAGAAATTTAAAAAAAAAAAAACACATTTTTACGATTTTCTCAAAAATCGCTCTAACGACTTTGATTAAACTCAGTATATCAGTGTATTATTAAGCAGATTTTAATATAATGTAGGTTTTATTCTCATTGATGTTCTCTAACTCTTAAATAGCTAATTTTCAATATGAGCTTCCTCTAAAGCAACTTAAATTTTTTTTTAAACTTCAATAAATCCCATCAAATTACCTTTACCCTGCGTCGCAAATCTATGACCTCCTGTCCTACAGTATTCTTTAACAATTCCCCACTTATCCCAGTTGAACAAATTCGTTACCTAGGACTCCACCTCGACAAACGACTCACATGGAATCCTCATACAAGACTGAAACGACAAGAAACCGCTCGACGTTTTCGACTACTCCAACACTTACTAGACAAACGCTTTAAGCTTTCACTCAATTACAAACGACTCATATATATGACAATAATAAGACCTATTTGGACCTACGGAATTGAGCTCTGGGGCTCCACTAAGCCATCGAATTCCTCTCGTATCCAATCCTTACAATTCAAAATCCTTCGTAAAATCCTCAACGCTCCTTACTTTGTCACAAACAAAATCATCCATAAAGACCTTAATGTTCCATATGTTTCCGATTTGGCCCAATCCAGATACCTATCCTTCCATAACAAACTGCAGAACCATCCGAACCCTCTTGTTTCAAACATTGCTTCCTCCTCTATCCCTGATAACCCACCGAGGCGTCTGAAAAGAAGATGGCCTCGGGATCTTCTAATATAGAACTTTAATTTGAGTTCTACCAATGGGTAATTTCTCTTCATATTTTACATGTCATGTTACCAATGTCACATTTACCTGTTGTATTTTTAATGTCATACAGTTGTAAATTTCAATAAAATTATTTTTAAAAAAATTTATTTGAAATAATTAATCATTTCACATTAATCTTTGATACAAAAAATAGTTAAAATATGAAAGAATTTAATAATTGACTACAGGAAATCGTAACGGATAATAGTTGTAATGGAAGAACCAAAAGAATACGAGCGCGTCCGAGCTCACCCTAAAGAGTACATACGTAACTTGAGCTTAATATAATACGGACTACAACAATATTATGTACATATACATGTGCGGTTTCCATAAATGCTATCATTGATATTATTTAATATTTAATTATATGGAATACAGTGATATAAAAATTAAAATTTATCTATATAAGGATATTTAAACAAATAAAAATACCCGTAATGAAATGTAAATAAATATAGCGCCCATAATCTTTACTTTCACTTCCCCTTTGTCTGATAATACTTATTTATACTAAAAAGAGGGTGGTAAGTGAAAGTCGTGTGATGCGCGCACCAGATTTTTTTATTCTGTACTCTTTTGACTGCCGATTCCTGTGACACGAATTGAGTATGAACAAATCGAAACGATTTTGATGAAAAATTTCTAGAGAATTTATTACAATCACTGCCTAAAACATTTTATATATTGGTCCTGAAAAAAGTAAGTAAAATAATTTACAGCAAAAATGACGTATATAGAATTCATTAGCGTTTATTAACTTTGATTTTATAAATGAAAGCCCTGTGGTATATCTAAATTTATATATAATTCGAAATTTGCTATCTTGGAGTGTTAACAGATTTATTGACGTTAAACAACAATCACAAAAACAATGACTTTTAAATTTTCTCTATTCCCCACTCAGCTACTATATTAATTTAATATCAAAAAGCTCTTTAACCTCTCCTTTCGAGTACGCTGTGGAACAGGTTTTTCCGATAACAATCCAGTTAAAGCTGATGTTCCCCAAGGCAACGTCTTGATTCCTGTGCTTTACATCCTCTTTACCGCTGACATCCCTGCTCATTCCGATACCTTGCAACATTTGCTGAAGACTCCGCAATCCTATCATCCAACTCAGTTATTTTTATTAGTTTATTTTTTGTTTATGTACATTTAGTTGTTTAATTTATTTTTACTTATAGTAAATAGAGTGTGAATGTACTCTCTGGCCACTATTATAAAGAGTTCTTTCAGACAGATTGTAATATTTTTCAATAAACATGTTTTTAAAAAATCTGTATCCGTATACGTACATATATTATTACAGTAAGGCTCGAAATCGGTTTTGTACCGAATATAAGTTCCTATCATGCTAAAATACTATGAATGGGGTACCGTTGGATTCAGAATTTCACTGGGGGTTAGCGAATCGTATTCACCACTTTTGTTTTTCTTTCTAAATTAAATAAAGTCGATACAAACATTTTGCTAGGCTTCAATACCTGAACAGTTGTAGGTCTGTAGATCGACAAGGGACAAATTGGATCTAGAAGACTTTGATGCGTACTGCAAGACAATGATAGTTCCTCCGAAACTATCGGATCCTGCGTTTTTAAACTCAAAAACGTACTATTTTCGAGATAACGCAAGGCATAGGGTTCGCATCCACACAACCTTACATTAATTGTAGTACTGTCATTGAATACATGTCTCATTTTGTCGACTTGAGGTCCCTATGATCGAGAGAGGAGCAGTTTATATTATTTATCGATGGTGTTTTTGATCGGCAAGCCACATCATCGTCAATTTTCACCAAATCTCAAGATTGAGCCACCAATTTCGAAGGCTTCCTTCTCCTTCAGGCGGACAAAATAGGCCAATCACCCCTAATTCAGGTAAAAAAGTTATAAAAGAAAATAAACTTTATTTGCGAATAACTAAAAAAATACACACTTTTCCCTATGTTATTTCCATGATCATATAAAGCATTACTAAATTTTCTACAAATGGGGAAAAAAATCATCGAAGTCAGACAATTTTTAGCAAAGATACAGCTTACTGAAATTTGTAAACATGTTGGTTCCAAACAAAAGTGAAGATTTAAATTAATTTTTGTTTTCTTTGTCGATCATATTTATCGATAAAGTAATAATTGATTTCTTTATCTTTTGATAGGTTGTATTATTTTATTTTCTTATTATTCTGGCATTTGATAACAATATGATGTGCGAATTTTTCGCACGGGCCTACTAGTAATAATAAATAAATATCAACAAGGATAGTGCAGGTTGTGTCCGTTATCTATTTGGACCCAAATTTTTCTCATTCTTGTAATCATTCTACAATTTTGGAGGTTACATAATATTGTATCTAATATATTACATTGTACATTACATATTACATTGTATCTAATATACAATATTATTGTTACATTGTTATGATATATATCTATGTTTTATTTAAGCTGATTTAAAAACTCATGCGAAAATTTTACTGTAACAAACTGTGTAGTATAATTTGAATAAGTCATGAAATATAACGTCAATAATTATGAAAGCACAAACAAATATAATAAATACAAAACATGTTAATATATTTTTTTATGACTTTTATATTTGTTTTACAAATCTTGTGAATCTTTTGCCAGCATCTTTATTTATTCAATCTGACAATTTAGTTTTTGTGCTTTCATGCGGTCTCTTATGTGTAATTGAAGGATTCATTGTTCAACTGGAAGACGTCTCTGGGGCAGACCAAGGCTAACATGGACGGACCACATGACGGATTCGTGGCTGGCAAGGACGGAGGCACCTCCACGCTGAAAGGTACAAGGAGGAAGAAGAAGAAGAAGCATTTATAGTTGATAAGAGACTTCCTGATCAATCGCTCCGAGCTATATGCCCAGCCCATCTTCACTTCCTTGCAGGAGTGCCCAGAAGGGGGTTTCATGGCGCAAGTTGCGCCATAAAAATTTCAGAGGGGGGCATATTTTTACGGGTTTTTGAATTTTTGAGGGAGGCAAATTTCGACGGGATTATGAATTTTCGGACTAAGAGATAAGACAAAAAACATGGAACATACCGTAGCAAGTGTAGTATTATACAATCTACGACTTTATTAATTCTACCTTAGCTTGCTCTGTTTTTAAGATTCAATCAAATATCTCGAGAGGAGGGGAGGTAGGTTCTTGCGCCATCGACTTTGGGGGGCGGACTCCTGCTTCCTTGTCATCATATCATGAGATATTACTTGACCAATCTCTGTAAGCAGTTCTTAATTTGCCTTCTGTACTATGTCTCAGATTGATTAGGTTATCGAGGATTTTCTCAATTTGTAACTCAAGACATTTCTTCTCAAATTTTTTAATGCTTTTAAGATACTGGTTATTGTCCATGCCTTGTAGACAATCACTAGTGGATCCAGGATTTAATTTTGGGGGGGAGCTTCAGCCCGAAAGATTTTTTTTCATATACATATAACAATAATTAATTAGAAAAAAAAGAAAGCAATTAACTATCTATATGCAATGATGTTTAAGTGGTTCTTGTAGTCCTATTAAATGTAATTAAACGAACAAGAATACTTTTAAGAGATAGTTTTTAATATTTTTTTTTCTGTAAAACATAGTTATATTTTACCATTTTGGTAAAATATAAAACTGGCTTTATCATAGAAATCGAAAGAGAAAAGTAGGATTTGTTTGCAATAGTTATAACAAGATACGAATCTTGTCTTTTTAGATACAGGATATTATTTATAACTAATATAAACGATTTTAGCATCTTATAATTAATAAAGAAGTATATTTCTAAACACATATTTCTTATTATTCGTTAGAGATAAAATTTTATAAGCCATTCATCTTCATATACACTTACAGTAGTATTATAAGAGCATATGATGTCGATGAAATAATATCACATGATTTTACAAGTCATTTTTGTGGCATACAGTTTACTATATAAGTGTAATTAATTGAGATACTTAATCAGATACTGATGAGATCATGATTGCGCATATGTTAAACTATGTTTCCTGTAGAGGAAGACAAGGGTTTACGACCTTCATAGTAACACGAAGAAAGACAACGGATAGTAAAGCAGTTGCTAGAAAATGGAGATGGTATTCTCCTTTCGATGTGCCATTAAAAATGGAGCGAATAGTAGATTTCGCTCTTGCAAGATCCGACGACTACATCAACTGGGGACGTAAAGGTTCCATTTACCCTTTGACTTTCGGTTTGGCATGCTGTGCTGTCGAAATGATGCACATGGCTGCACCTAGGTACGATATGGACAGGTACGGTACAGTGTTCAGAGCTTCGCCTCGACAAACAGATCTAATCATTGTAGCAGGAACGGTAACGAATAAGATGGCTCCTTGTTTAAGAAAAGTGTACGACCAAATGCCAGAACCCAAGTGGGTCATATCGATGGGAAGCTGTGCCAACGGGGGAGGTTATTATCACTACTCCTATTCAGTAGTGAGAGGCTGTGACAGAATTATTCCAGTCGATTTTTATGTACCAGGGTGTCCGCCAACAGCTGAGGCCTTGCTCTATACGGTTTTACAGCTTCAGAGGAAAATAAAACAAATGAATACGTTTCAAGCTTGGTTTCGAAAATAATGTGTATATTTTAAACTAGTAAAATTAAAAAGAACAGTTAAAATACTTCTGTATGTATATTTTTACAAATAAAAGTTTATTATTTTTTATATTGAATTATGTTCTTGTTTGATAAAATCAAAGAACGCGAAGAACACTTGCTCTTACGTTCACATCTTGTACTCTTGATTGCAATCTTTGCCGAGTTTCTACTCTCGAACGCTTCATTTGTAGTTTGATTTTCATTAGTTTTACATAAACTTCCTCCAAGTAGTAAGCGTTTTCACGTAATATTTCCACCTTATTAAATGAAATAGATACAGCAAGAGGATGGAACATACTTTCTCTAGATGCATCTCTGCTCACTGGTGCAGTGCTTCCTTTGTCTGATTGCTCGTAGATGATAGAAGCGTCATCCACATCCTTCTAAAAAGAAAATACTCATATATAATAAAAGAGATTTTGAATATGGAGTAGACCATAAAACAATAAACCTGATAAAATTAACCCAAACAAACACAAAATCAAAGGTAAAATTCTAAGGACAAATCAGCAAATCCTTCTAAGTAAAAACGGGACTAAGACAGGGAGACGTCCTGTCACCAATATTATTTATCATAGTACTGGAAAAATCATGAGAGAGTTCTGGAAAATAAATAACGCAGTGGCTCCCGAAAAAACTATGTAAAAGTGAGCTTAATCGCACATCACAAGCCTTGAAGAATGATGTCAAAACTGGAGGATTAAAATAAATTCTAATAAATCCCATCAAATCACCTTTACCCTTCGACGTAAACCTATGACCTCATGTCCCACAGTATCCTTTAATAATACTCCACTTATCCCTGTTGAACAAATCCGATACCTTGGACTTCACTTGGACAAACGTCTAACTTGGAATCCTCATACCAGACTGAAACGACAAGAAACCGCTCGACGTTTCCGACTACTCCAACACTTACTAGACAAACGCTCTAAGCTTCCAGTTAATTACAAAAGATTTATATACATGGCTACAATAAGACCTATTTGGACTTACGGAGTTGAGCTTTGTGGCTCCACTAAGCCATCGAATTCCTCTCGTATCCAATCCTTACAATCCAAAATCCTTCTGAAAATCCTCAATGCTCCTTACTTTGTCACCAATAAAATAATCCATAATGACCTTAATGTTCTTTATGTTTCTGATTTGGCCCAATCCAGATACCAATCCTTCCATAATAAACTTCAGAACCATCCGAATTCTCTCGTCTCTAACCTTGCTTCCTCTTCTATTCCTGATAACCCTCCGAGGCGTCTGAAAAGAAGATGGCCTCGAGATCTCTTATTGTAAATACATTTTGTTTTTAGAGTGCTACCAGTGGGTAGTTTCTCAACAAGTCATGTTTTTATTTTCTGTTATCAAATTTACTTAATGTATTTAATTTTTTAATACAGTTGTAAATATCATGAATAAAAAAAAAAAAAAAGTGAGCTTCATGGTCTTTGCGGACGATATAGTCCTTCTGGCTGAAACAGAGGAGAAGGCAATTAATCAAATACATACCCTGAAAGAAATAGCAGAAAAAGCAGGCCTACGATAAGAGAAAATAACAGAAAAAAACTACTGCAAGAAAACAATAGACGAATTATAGACGGATAAAAGTAACAAAGAAAGTTAAATATCTAGGAAATACAATATGCAATAACGGTTCCAAGTCACAAAGTAGGAAAAACTAAGCAAAAATAAGACACTACACCACGGCGATAAACCAGTAATTCTGTACGAGATCTGAAAATAGAGAGGACTCTGAGGAAAATCAAGGAGCCCAAGAAGACACAGGAAGGCTCAGGTTAAGACCCAATCAGGATATCTACAAGGAGACAAAAGACCTAAAAACCGAAATAAGAATTAGAAGACTAAGATTCTGCAGGCAAATGATAAGAATGGACCAAGGGAGACTAAACAAGAAAGTCTTCGACATAATCTGAGAATACAAGAGCGTAAGAGTATATGTAAAACAAATGAGAAAGAAAAGAAAAAATTGAAAATAACAGATAAAGACCGCCTAGATAGGGAACGATACGGAAAAAAAAATTAAAAGAAATCAAGGTTCTTATAGAAAATAAAGAAAAATGGTAGGGCACTGCGTGTTCGAAACAGAGAAAGCAAAGGCACTCAGAAATGACGAGAAAATACTGGGAGAAGAGAAAAGCTAAAGTAAGAAGGGGAAGTTAATGATATTCGCGTGGTCTTAAAATGCCGCTTGGTGAAAAAAAGAAAAAAAAAGAGAAGAGGTTTTAAAGAATTATTTACACTGAGAAATGACTCTTCTTAGAAATATAACGGTGTTAGTCAATATGATCCTTGGTTGTGACTTATTTGAATAAATCGTTTTATCATATACTGATTTCCAATAATAAACCATTGTAATCGCCTAAAAACTTAAAAAAGTTAAGTCTCCCTTAAAATTTGACATTTCAGATTTCACGACACATAAAATTCGAATAAAAAAAAAATCTCTGTCCACCGTCTGCTTTTCTCCGAGACTACAGGACCAATTTTTTCGAGGTTTGAAATCAAAGCCAGAGATCAACCGACGATGATCTCACCTCCTCGACATCGAGGAGGAGCTGTTTCCTTTCATGATGGCGGCCGAAACTTGTGTTTGTAAGACAATAGCTCCCAAACGAATCTACCGATTTCAACTAAACTTGGCTAAAGTCTTATCCTCGATGCTCTTTAAATTTATGTATATTATATACTTCACCGAAAAAAAAAAACAGTTTCAAGAAGGCTGCCGAAAGACCTGTGTTGTATAGGCTGTAGCGTCTGAACGGACGAACCGATATGAATGATACTTGGCTAGTCTCCTCTTTCCAAGACGTTCAAATTTATGTAAATAATGACCTTCAACAAAAAGAAGCTGAAAAAAAATTTACGAGGAGTGGTAAAGTTAGATTTTCGAATAACTCAAAAAGTATACACTTTTTTGAAGAGATCATTTAGAAATTTACGAAATCTTTCCCCTCCCCCTTTCCCAAAAAAGCGTTGTAATGGTGAAAAGATATGCTGTTCTAAATATTTTCCACACGTTCTAATGCAAAGTTATATACATTTTTTTGGTTTTAATTTTTTTGGAAAATATTACATGAAGTATCAATATCCCATGATATGAAGGCGAAGGTTAAGATAGGCAGGGCATGTTAAGATAAGTTCGGAGCCATAGGCGGGGAGAGCTTTCGGGCTAAAGAGTAAAATATAACCATGCCTTATGAAAAGATATTAAAATATTATCTCTAAACGTATTGTTGTTAAAGCAAGCTCCGCCATCAAAATGTTAGGGGGAGGGCACATTTTGACGAGTTTTTTAATTTTTGAGAGGGCTAATTTCGATGGGGTTATGAATTTTTGGATTAATGGACAAGGGTAACGCATAAAACTGACCACAGCAAATGTATTTATATATGATCTAAGATTTTTCTAATTCCACCTTAGCTTGCTCTATTTTTAAGAAAGGTGAGCAATAAAATATCTTGGAAGGAGGGGAGGGTGGTAGGTTCTAGCGCCATCGACCTTGGGTGGAAGGGATGGGCGCCTCTGTTAGTTAAATATCAAATTTTTTCATAGTGTTAATCAAAACTAAAGTTACTTAAGAGGAATTTTCTTTATAAATTGGTATTTACTCTCAGGTAATTATTTCGATGAATATAACAATATTACAATAAGTGGTATTAAAGACTTTGAAATTTTAAATTGAAATAATCGGTTTAATAAAAATCGTTGGAGCCGTTTTTGAGAAAAATGTGTAAAATCCATTATATCAAGTAGAACCTCTGATTAGCACTAGATTTTAACCAAAAAATCTGGTGTGTCTACTCACACGACGTTCCTACCTATTTCAGAAAAGTTTTTATATATTTACATATGTCCATCAAGAAACAAAAAAAAATTGAATTCGATTTATTTTCCTGAAAATTGATGAAAGAAAAGATTTGTGTATGATTTATTTGATAAACTAAAGCAATGTAAACCGGCTTAAGGTTGATCAATGTAAAAATTTCAGTACCCTCTAATATTGCTGATCAAAAACATTTTGCGATAGCCTAATTTTGTCAAACGATAATTTCTGTTAAAAGTAGAGGAAATAGTGAAGCTTGTGTGATGCGGGCAAAAGATTTTCTTACTTTCACTTAGATATCTTTTTCACCTCTTTCTGACAACAGGATATGAACCCGTAATCTTACATTGGAAATTGAATAGATGGAACATCGCTAATAGTTGTTCGAAATTTGTATATAGTTTTGTAGAGAATTTCATTACCTTTCAAAATACCTAGTATAGGTAGGAAAGTAATAAATTAAAACATTGAAAGGACAATTATTAGAACATTATAGGAAAGTTTCATCAAAATCGTTAAAGCCGTTTTCGCGCTACAGTCTATAGAAAAGAATGTTTTTAATTCATTACGATAAGGGATAAGGCAGTGGATCAGCTGATGAGAAGGTTGTCTCCTCAACTCCTCTCTCAGTTTTTACCAATTTTATAGCGGAATCTCTCTGATTATTCACGTGATACAGTTAAAGTGTATATCAGAGCAGTTGATATTTACTGTTGGCATCTTTTTTTTTTGTTATTTTAAGAAAAAAAAAAAAAAAAAAAAATTTTTTTTTTTCTTTTTTTTTTATTTATTTATTTATTTTTCTCTTATGATATGCGGTATGATCAGCAAGTGATGGCCAGTAAGGTGCCCAAGAGGTCTCGGTCAGACGGAGTTAGCTCACCAGCCAAACAAAGGACTCGTCGCTGCCTACGAGAAATACCTCCAGTGACCAAAATGAACACTTCAGAACCAGAACCTCAGCCCCAACCAGGTACGTCTGCACAAGAAACGATTGAAGAATCACCTTTCTTTACTCCAAACCCCTACCAAGTGCTTCAAAATGACAAAGAAGTAATGGAGTCTGCAGCAATACCCAGAGAACCAAAGCCTCCTCCGATATTTGTGAAAAATATAAAAAATTTCCAGATGTTCTGCACCCAACTAAATAAAATCTGCTCTGGCAGTTATTCATGCCTTAACAGGACCAATGACACCAAGATAACACCTGATTCTGCAGAAGCCTACCGAAAAATAGTGAAGTACTTATCAGAAACAAATGCGAATTTTCACACTTACCAGCTGAGGCAGGAAAGAGCTTTACGAGTGGTGATAAGAAATTTACATTCCTCAACCCCCACTGAAGTTATTAAAGAAGAACTAACGACGCTTGGTTTCAATGTACGCCAGGTAACAAACGTTTTGAAGGAGGACAGGGAGCAGCCAGGATTACGAAATAGGATCCCACTACCATTGTTTTTCGTGGACTTGGAGCCATCACAAGGTATCGAAAAAATATATGATATCACAAGAATATACTATACAATGGTGAAAGTTGAGAAGCCA